AGCCATAGAAAGAAACAATTCCTGGTTGCTTCTGGCAGTCGCGCAGCAGCTGAGCACAAGTGGAATGCCGTTTCTGGTCCTGGGAAACAAGAACTGACTGTTGGGATCGCTTCGTTATGTGGCTATGAGATGATGAACAATGGCTACAGAACTTTCAAATGCGGAAGGCCAGTTTCCAGGAACTTTGTGCAGAGCTTTTCTCAGCCCTGAAATGCAGCAACACCAAAATGAGACATGCTCTGACAGTGGAGAAGCGAGTGGTGATCGCTCTGTGGACGCTTACAACGCCAGACTGCTACCAGTCGGGGGAAATCAATTCAGAGTTGCTAAATCCTCTGTGGGAGCTGTTGTGATCCAAGTGTGCAGGGCCATTAATCAACTTCTGCTAAGAAGGGTCATGACTGTGGGCAACGTGCAGGACATAGTGGATGGTTTTGCACGGCGGGGCGATAGACGGAATGCATATCCTTATCTTGGCACCAGATCACTTAGCCAAAGAGTATATAAACCGTTAGGGATACTTTTCAATGGTGTTGCAAATGCGGGTGGATCACAGGGGGCGTGTAACCAACATCAATGCGGGATGGTCAGGAAAGGTGCATGACGTGCGCATCTATAGGAACACAAGTCTGTTCAGAAAGATGCAAGCAGGAACTTTCTTTCCAGATCACAAAATAACTATTGATGACACTGAAATGCCAATAGTGATCCTGCGAGACCCAGCCTACCCCTTGCTCCCATGGCTCATGAAGCCATACAGTGGCCACGTGGACAGCATTAAGGAATGGTTCAACAATAGGCGGAGCAAGTGCAGATTGGTGGAGGAATGTGCCTTTGGCCATTTAAAGGGTCGCTGGCACAGTTTGGTTATTAGGTTAGACCTCAGTCAAAGCATTTTCCCTATTTTTATCACTGCCTGCTGTGCGCTCCATAATATCTGTGAGGCAAAGGGAGAGAAGTTTCTGCAGGGGTGGGGCATGGAGACAGATAGGTTCACAGCTAATTTTGAGCACCCAGATACCAGAGCAAGAAGAAGAGCCCAGCAAGGAGCTCTTCATCTCCAGGAGGGTTTGAAAACCTGTTTCAGTAATGAGCCACAGTAATGTGCACCGCTTATCTGCGTTGTGCCTTCCCATACCATCCCCCAGTTGCATCAGTTTCCCTGTACCCCCCTCCCACCCCCAAGTCCCCACGATTGGAATAAATAAAGAGCATTTCATTCTTGAAACATTGATTTTTATTGCACAAGCATAAAGAAACTGAAAGACTGGGAAAATAATTTAACCTGGGGCAAACAATGTGATAAAATTGGGAAGGAAGAAACCAAGTCAGCTTGTCTGTGAAAGCACAGTAGTCTTGCCTTCAAAGGTCTTTGAATGGCTGCTGTTTGTTCTTAGTACCCTCTCCCAGAGTTGAGTGAAAGGGATACTGAACTTCTCCCCCACCCCACCTCCTGGAACGTTTGCAGGAGGGGGATTGGGAACAGGGCGATGCTTTCAGGCAGTTTTGCAGGGGCTGCAAAGGGAGTCTAGCCTCAAGCTGTTTTTCTTGAAGCTCAACCAGATGCCTCAACATCTCTGATTGGTCCTTCATAATCAGCATCTCATTCTGCATGCCACCCTCATGCTCCTGGGATGCTCTCCATGTCCATGTCCAGTTTTTCAGACAATGAAATACTCCAGGCTCTAAGCGCCATGTCAGCGGTCCCAGAGGCATTCATTATCTCGCTGAACATGTCATCACGTGTTCTCTTTTTCCGCCTTCTAATCTGTGAAAGCCTCTCTGCTGGTGTGGAGGATGTGCTGAAGGGCAAGCTTTCTACTGTAAGGCACGCAAAGCACAAGGCAACCGTCGTCAGTGCATACCATGGGTCTAGCACAAGGTTGCTATTTAAAAATCACTCCCTTATTACACTCAAGTTCAAGCCAGAACATAATCAGAATCCCTAGCTATTTAACGAACCGACTTGCTATTTTACCCATGGTGAGCACGGCTCAGTGGCTTGGGCGCAGGCCTTGTGCTGCAACTTGTGGGAAACCCACATCAGGAGCACATGTGGGCCATGCCCCTTCCCCCTAGCAACATGGATGTTGCTTTGAGACCAGGGACCAGTGTTAAGCCTCCCAAATTGCGGTCTTTGTCCAAGGATGAGGGGCAGGGGTTTGTGGCCACAGGAGAGCACAGAAGCCCACTCCCCACTTCTCTTAATGCTGCTGGACTTGCAGAATGTGAGGTCAGCACCGATCCCTGCCAACAAAACCACCAGCACGTTAAAGGAAGTGTGGTTGAGGGACCCAGAAGTCACCATGGTGGTGGATCACATGCGCTAATATTTGCAGTACGAGCACTCATAATGAAAACTTCCACCATCTCCCCTAGGTGACCTTATGTGATATCAGTCTCCTGAAGGAAACAGAGGTGGCAAGAGAGCAGATGCTGCAAGCGTTTGTGAACAGACCCGGTCCTTACATTGCTATGCTGTGTATCGCAATGCCAGCAGAATTAATACTGGAGTGCCATGGGAAAGTGTCCTACCGTGGTAGAAGAAATTAGGCAGCCCTCCCCAGAAAGTTTCCTAGAGCTCTCCACTGAGGATTCCCGGGCCATCCCTGTGCACACACAGTCTTTTCCGGAGGGCACTCTCTATGTAGCTGGAACAGCCACTGTGAAGCAGATATCCACTGCCCCTCACTTTTTCTTCAGATTAAACTAAATATAAGAGCATGTAACCCCAACAGTTTGACTGGAATTGCATACTAACCAGAGGTGCCTTCCCTGGCATCACGCTCAGCCACCATGTTGTCCTGTGACTGGCTGGGCTCCGAGGTGAAAAATAGCTCCTGGTTCTTGAGGCGAATGGATCCACTCCTTGCCTGTCTCCCATTCTCCTCCTCTTCCTTGTCCAGAATGTCCTCCTCGTTGTTGCCTGAGGTAGCTCGGGACTCAGACTCCTGGGAGGTATCCACGCAATGTTTGGGGGGTAGTGGTGGGGTTGCCACTGAGAATCTCATGCAGCTCATTGTAGAAGCGGCATGTCTGTGATGCAGAACCAGAACCACTGTTTGCCTCCCTTGTCTTCTGGTACGCCTGCCAAGTTCTTTGATTTTTACGCGGAACTCCTGCGTGTCCCTGCTGTAGCCCTTCTCTCCCATGCCCCGCGCGATCTTTGAGTAGATGACTACATTTCTTCGGCTGGATCGGAGCTGTGCCTGCACAGACTCTTCTCCTCACAGACAAATAAGATCCACCACCTCCTGTGTACTCCAGGCTGGAGTGTGTGTGAGGTATTGAGTTGCCATGATCAGCTGGACTGGCAAGCTCTCCACGCTGATCAAACAGGAAATGGGAATTCAAAAGTTCCCAGGGCTTTAACAAGGGAGGGACTGTTTCCTGTGTACCTGGCTCCTGTGCAGCGCAGTTGAAAACGATCTCCAGAGCAGTCACAGCAGAGCATCGTAGAACACTTCCTGGAGACCAATTCAGTCATCTTATACAACACTGTGTCTACATTGCCTCTCTGTTGACCCATCAACATTGAATTAAGCACTATGCCTCTCATGGAGGTGGAGTAATTAAATCGATGTTACAGGCGAGTTAGGTCAGAGGAAGAAGCCTGGTAGTATAGACGCATATATTAGGTCAATGTAAGGTGGCTTCCGTCTACCTAAATTTGTAGTATAAACCAGCCCTTAATAGGAAACTGACATTCTATAAATATTGATTTATGCTATTAATCACAGATGTGTATGTTTTCTAAAACTTTCATACTGTAATATACTGAAAATCAAAAGGAGGAAGACAAAGAAAAATAACACCTACTTAATAAGATTCACGGATTGTCACTGTAGACTAGAATGTCTGCAGAGTCAACGCAAACCTGGAAATAGCTACAAACATGACTGAGGACCCTTTTTGTTCAGAATATCACCAGGTTAAATTATCACTGAGTTTCGCGGTCTGTTACCATCCAATTTTTAAGTTCTCAGCCACTCTTGTTGGTGCCACTAGGCATAGCTACCAGGTAACTCAGGAGGGTGGAAGGCCATAAGTGCTGATGAAACCCCCCTGCTCTGGGTCTAAGTGAGCCAAAGTAACTCCATCTTGTGAACTCTGACCAACCTAAATGCTAACAGCATAGAAGCAGAATATGTAACAGTCAGCTTTTTTCGCAGACAGCTGCAGTTTCGCTCACACTAGCAAAAGCAGTAGCGATAAGGAAGAAGGGGGGGGAAGGAGGGAAGTCTACATGTCTCTGTGCCTGCAAGGCCAAAGATAAACATGCGGACGAGAACTTTTCTAACACGCCACAATGTAGTGCCTACTGTAACTGCTGTCGGGAAGGGAGGGGTAGAGGGGAAACAGAACAAAGGCTTACTCAAGCAGCTTGGAATATAAAATGGGAAACTTGCTTGTATTTGTTGCGCTTCTGATTTGAGACATGCTGGTCTCCTGAGTGCCTTTTCGAGATCTTGAATAAACTTGGTTTGCTTCTCCACCCTGGTGTGTTTATCAGTGCGGCGCACACCGGGCAACGAATCCCCTGTTGCCCCCTCAGGCCCTCTGGGCCGGCAACACTCTGACTTTACTAATTATAGTTGTGCAGTACAGCTATAGTAAAGCATGTGTGTATGGTACTCCAAGAGACCTACACCATTGTGATATCAGAGGTAACTCAACCAACTGCCATCCTTACACATGGTGTTCAACCTTTTTTCATTTGCAGAGCCCTAAAAAATTTTTGAATGGAGGTGTGGATCCCTTTGGAAGTTTTAGATATTGTCTGCGGACCCTGAAAGGTCTGGGGACCACAGGTTGAAAACCACTGTGTTACAACTAATTTTTATGCAACACTTTAATTGGTTGTATGAGGAAGACTGCACAGACGGTGGATTACTTGGCCCAACTGCCAGTTTTTCCAAAACCACTTACAGAACAACACAACCAACACACACACAGAGACCCTCACAGCAGCGCACACTGCTCATTTGCCACCTGCACAAAATCAACACAAATCTTCCAGGATTGTCACTCTGTCTGTGTGTCACTCTAAAGCCTAGCATGTCTGGTGAGTCACTGTGAAGTGGAACAGCTAGAACCATGGCTGATGGCTCTTTTTTATTTGGAATATCATGAGGTTCAAGCATCAGTGGGGCTGTCAGAACCAGATGGAATGCTGGAGTCCAAAGGTTCCGTGGTGGTTGGAAAGTGACAGTTGATCAGAGGAAGTGGGAGTAACAGCTATGTGGGGTAACAAGGAGATGGTTGTGCTGTCAACCAAGGGGCTGCTCTGTGTACAAACTTTGGGGAACATGTACAAACAGCAACATTGCTCCCTGCAACACAACACATGGAAACAAGAGCCCTTTTTATCAGCTTTTTGACACACACGTTTAGGAATTACACCCATGCAACAGGATGAGCTTTCAGCTACTAGTTCTAAATAAAAATTCTGAATAGTATCCCCCATCGTGCATCTGTCTCCTCCCCGTATCTCCAATCTTTCCTAAATTTGTATCTTCTCATGATAGACTAGAACTTGAAACTCAGAGTATTATTTCAACGTAACATGAAAACTACTTGAACGTTAATTTTCATGCCATTTATTTCTCCCACATTCTGCCTTATTTGAATAATAAAAATACTTATCTTTTCATAACTATTTTCTAGAGCACTTTTCAAATGTTAACTATTACTTGCAACACCTATATGGAAAGCCAAACACTGAAAGGATAAGTAACTTGTCCAAGACCAGAGAACTACTCAGCGGCATAATTAGCATTAAAAGACAGAAGTCCCATGCTCTAACTCCCAGTCTCACGCTCTAACCACTGGACCACACTTTCTCCGAGTTAGCTGTTATTAAGCAACAACTTTCTTATAGCTGTTTATTGTCATTGAGGAATCTAGCTCATATGTCATTTTCACAATGGCCAGGTAGAAAATTCTGCATTAAAAACTAGAAAACAGCATTTGTCTTCAAATCTAAGAGGCAGTGGGATTTCCTGCCAAGAAAACCTCACAAGTCAACTGTTAAACTGAATGAAATCAACCTTGTGCAGCCACTTTATAATTCTATTTAGGGCATAATTTCATCAGTCTTCTCTCAAGGAGAATTAGCAGAAGGAAAAGGAAAAGGAAAAAGTATTCTCAGCAGTATAAAATGAGATCAAGGTACACTAAAATGTAAATAAAGGATAGTTAAGGGAATATTTCTTAACGTTACAAAACATTTTATTGCTTCCATTTTAAAGAAATTCTAATATAAATTTAATTTATAATATAATTATAGAAGAATTAAGTAAACAGGTTTAGTTACCATGAGCTACGTAAGCTTTTACCTCGGTAATGCTGCAGTAACTTGTTCATTCGAATATCCCAGAGCTTCACTGTATGATTAGAACCTGCAGAAACTACACATGTACCACTTGGATTGAAATCAACATAGTTTGCAAACCTAGATGGAAATTATGAAAATAGATTTAATGAGTTTTGCTGTTTTAAAAGCAATATCTATAATTCAAGAGAATTAATAAGAATGTAAGAACGGCCATACTGGGTTAGATGAATGATCCATCTAGTCCAATATCCTTTCTTCCAACAGTGGCCAGTGCCAGAAGCTTCAGAGAGAATGAACAGAACAGATCAATCATCAAGTGATCCATGCCGTCATCTACTCACAACTTCTGGCAATTAGAGGTTTGGGACACCCAAACCATGGGGTTGCATCCCTGACCATCCTGGCTGAGAACCATTGATGGACCTATCCTCCATGAACATATCTAATTCTTTTTTCAACCTAGTTCTACTTTTGGCCCTCACAACATCCCCTGGCAATGAGTTCCACAGGTTGACTGTACATTGTGTGAAGAAGCACTTCCGTGTGTTTAAACCTCCTATGGATTTCATTGGATGCCCCCAGGTTCTTCTGTTATGTGAAGGGATAGGTTACACTCTCCTATTAACTTTCTCCACACCACTCATGATTTTATAGACCTCTATCATATTCCGTGTTAGTTGTCTCTTTTCTAAGATGAATAGTCCCAGTCTCTCCTCATATGGAAGCTGTTCCATACCCCTAATCATTTTTGTTGCCTTTATCTGTACTTTTTCCAATTCTAATATATCCTTTTTGAGATGGAGCAATCAGAACTGCATCTAGTATTCAAGGTGTGGGCATACCACAGATTTGTACAGTGGCATTATGATATTTTCTGTCTTATGATCTATCCCTTTCCTAATTGTTCCTAACATTCTGTTAGCTTTTTTTAAAAAAAGCTTCCGCTGCACATTGAGCAGATGTTTTCAGAACACTATCCACTATGACTCCAAGATCTCTTTCTTGAGTGGCAATAGCTAATTTAGAGCCCATAATTTTGCAAGTATAATTTGGATTATGTTTTCCCACATGCATTACTTTGCATTTATCGACATTGATTTTCATCTGCCATTTTGTTGCCCAGTCATCCAGTTTTGCGAGATCCCTTTGTAATTCTTCACAGAAGCTTTGGACTTAAGTATCTTGAGTAATTTTGTATCATCTACAAACTTTGCCAGCTGACTGTTCACCCTTTTCCAAATCATTCATGAATATGATGAACAGCACTGGTCCCAGTACAGATCCCTGGGGGACACTGCTATTTACTCTCCACAATGAAAACTGATCATTTATTTCTACCCTTTTTTCCCTCCTGTCTTTAATCAATTACTGATCCATGAAAGGACCTTCCCTCTTATCCCATGACTGCTTACTTTACTTAAGAGCCTTTGGTGAGGGACCTTGTCAAAGGCTTCCTGAATGTCAAAGTACACTATAAACTCTGGATCATTCTTGTCCACGTGCTTGTTGAACCCCCTCAAAGAATTCTAATAGATTGGTGAGGCATGATTTCCCTTTACAAAAGCTATGTTGACTTTTTCCAACATATTTTATTTACCTATGTATCTGATAATTAATTCTTTGTGTGGTACTGAAGTTAGGCTTACAAGCCTGTAACTGCCAGGATCACCTCTGGAACCTTTTTTTAAAAATTGGATGATAGCTAGTATGCTGCCAGTCATCTGGCACAGAAACAGATTTAAATGACAGATTACATAACACAGTTAGTAGTTTTGCAATTTCATATTGAATTTCTTCAGAACTCTTCGTTGAATACCATCTAATCCTGACTTAGCACCATTTAATTTATCAGTTTATTCTAAAACCTCCTCTACCGACACCTCAATCTGGGACAGTTCCTCAAAATGGCTTGGATATGGGAATATCCCTCACATCCTCTGCAATAAAGACTGATGCAAAGAATTCATTTAGCTTCTCTGCAATACTTTTGTCTTCCTCAAGTGCTCCTTTAATACACAGATTGTTCAGTGGCCCCACTGATTGCTTGGCAGGCTTCCTACTTCTGATGTACTTAAAAATATTTGCTTTTAGTTTGTGTCTTTTGCTAGTTGCTCTTCAAATTCTTTTTTGGCCTACCTAATTATACTTTTACAATTGACTTGCCAGAGTTTATGCTCCTTTCTATCTTCCTCAGTAGGTTTGACTTGCAATTTTAAAGGATGTCTTTTTTGCCTATAACCACCTCTTCTACTCTGTTGTTTAGCCACAGTGGTATTTTTTTGGCCCTCTTCCCTTTTTTTTTTTTTTTTTTTTTTATTTTCAGGTATACATTTAGTTTGAGCCTCTATTATGGTGTTTCTAAATAGTCCCCATGCAGCTTGCAGGCATTTCACTCTCGTGACTGTTCCTTTTAATTTCCATTTAACTACTGTTGTGTAGGCCCCCTTTTTGAAGTTAAATGCTACTGTAGTAGGTTTCTTTGGTATTTTCCTCCCTCAAGGATGTTAAATTTAAATTACATTATAGGTACTATTATTGAGTGGTTCAGATATATGCACCTCTTGGACCAGATCTTGTCCTCCACTTAGGACTAAATGAAGAACTGCCTCTCCCCTTGTGGGTTCCAGGACTTAGCTACTCCAAGAAGCAGTCATTATATGGTGATTTGCCACCTGGTAATTTGGGTTCTTCGCATTCATCTAGTTCTAGTCATGGATCTAAATTCACCTAATCAACAGGAAGAAATAGGGGAAAAAAGAACACTCCTGCTACACTAGATGGCTGACTCTGTTCAGTTAGGGACTTTGGACTTTCAGAGCAATTAAAATGCTATTTATTCTAAAGAAAATACTTAGACTAAAGACAGTCCTAACTCCGCCAATGGAACAGAAGGTTTCGGCTGGCACAGAGACTTGGAGAACACAAATTACAACTAAGGAACTGACGTTATCAAACATCCCTTCAAGTCTCCTCAGACAGTGGGAGCACACACAGAGGTACCAAATGAACAGAATAGACCTAGGAAGAGTATCTAGAAAAATTGAATAGTTTAAAATCTGCCTTCTCATGGCAGCATCAGCAGTGACAAGTGTCCCTAACATAATCACCAATCGTAGCAGCAAAAGGAAAAAAATTAGGAAAAGGGATTTCCCTCCTGCATTCCCTCCCAGCTTCTAAACTCTTATTGTTACACCAAAGAAAAGCCCCACTCTACCTTGCCCCTCACTCATAGCAGGCTTCCATAGTATCAAAGGTCTAGGTAAGACACCTGGGAGCCCACCATTCCTGTTCCATTACAGTGATTGCTTCAGAAAAACATGATCTATCCCTTACACAGAAATATGAAGGACTGTGCATTGAACAGCAATGGGTCAAATCATCTTGATTATTCAAAGAGTTGATGTACTAGCAAATGTCCTTATAGAGGAAGGTTAAAATTATTGTGTACAATGTCAATGGCTACAAAGTGCTGGGGGTTCAGCTATAGAATTTTGGGAAGTTCCCAAAATTTTGTCCAGGAACTCGCTTATTTTAATAATTGTAATATTTCTGAAAGATTCTCCGGTTGACTTATATTTATATTGAGCATCTACTGCAAGATTAGGGACAAAGACAAAAACAAAAGAATTCCCAAAAGCTCAGTGAGGTCTGACTGTTGAGGAATCTGCCAAAGCTCTGGTTATGTATTTGTTTACACTTATTTTTCCACATCTGAACATCATTGGTATCAAACAGCAGATGACTAGAATAAGCAGCTTGGACTAACCAAGAATGGGAAAAAAACAAAAAACATGCCTGGGGGGGAGAGGGGGGAAATCATCTGGTTTCCTTTCTGCCATCCTACTAAGGATAGGAGTTAAATTTCCTTCATTGAATTCAGCAACAGGAAAAAGCTCTCCATTAGAGGAGTGCTTGAAGCCTTAAACCTAGAAAACTCATTTCATTCTAGAAAGCAAGTCCCAAGCTCTCAATAGTAAAATTGAAGTGCTGTTGCTGCTATACATGCAGGAAGACTGAGATAGTGACAGGCTGCAGAGCTCAAAGTACTTTTCAGCTCAGACAAAGGGTAGAGAGATAGCACTAGTGAAACTAATAAAGGGCATATACTGGGCTCTTCCAGGAGGTCCTTTGCATCCCAAAAGCTCTGACTCCCTTTATGTTTAAAAGAATATGGGATAATATGAAACCAAAGTATTTTTACAGCCAAAGAAGGCAGAACACACTGTAGCTTGCAGAATATTAACCCCCTTAATTAATGAGTATGAGGGGGAAAATTAAGAATTCTTCACTAACAAACATCCTACTCTAAATTAACAGAAAGGAAAGTATTGGGGAAAAATTCAAAGATAAAAGTAGTCAAAAGTCTAACCCAGTCATCTTCTCAAGACAGGTTTGGTCTCATCTCCTGAAGACAGAAAAACAGATGGGCACATTTAGACAGCCAGCTGTCTTCTTAAAAATAAAAAAATCTTTGCATTTCTTTGATTTCCATCTGCTGGTAGAAAAGTTTGCATCTATTTTCAAGTATTGCATAGAGATGTTGGTGAAATTTGATTTAAGGCAGCACAAAAGATGAACTTCATATCATGTTAAATATATTTCTGTATTCTTCTGTTGCATGGCACTTACCCTTCATAGTCTGTAAAGCTATCAATGCATATTTTATTTGCTGCATCCCAGATTTTAACAGTTTTATCCTCACTGCAAGATGCTATTAATCTTCCATCAGGTGAAAATCTGTAAAGTATAAAAAAGGTTTCTATTTAAGAAGTAGTATCAAATATTCAGTAATAAAGATAACTGAATAGTAAATAAATATTAAAAGGTATTTTCTAGGACAATCTCAGTTTAAGGGTGTTATACTTACTGAGAAACCTCAAGTTCACAAAACTAGGCAGAAAAGATTACCTCTTCCTACACCATTTATATATATATATATAAAAAAAAAAAAAACCCTTTTCCACCCCTGAAATCTAAAAACTAAAATATATTTTTAAACACCGATACACCTGAATGGGGGAGGGGGTAGAAGAATGACCTGTAGGCTGAACCCAAGTATGAAAGTTTCAGCTCTAAAGGAGAAATTTGCAGAAACATTACAAGTGAATGGAAACAGAGTGTCATACTAGAACTCTGCATTTAAATTTTAAACTAAGGCTTTCTCTACCATGAATATTTTAATGGTATTAAACGTACACATGCTTGTGAGTTTTCACTAAGTAAGTCTTTCTAAACTAACAATGATCCATCAATAATTACCCTAAACTCTCCCAGACTGGCTAATCTGATTTTTTTTGTTTCTTATTTTTAAAAGCAATTTTTCATGAATCAAAGTCAAACTTATTAGTCTAGTTTCTCCAGTACTCATTACTTTCTTTTTTAATACAGGTGCAGTATTGCACTTCTGTAATCCTCTGGGAGTTTTCAAATCTGATTGCCTTATGGTTCTGTTCTTCTTTTCACCAGTTGAGTCCTCTAGTGTTCTATAGTGAATTTCATTATGCACTGCTATCAGAATATATTCATATTTTTCAAAATTCAATATCAATGCTGATGTTAATCAAACAACTGATGTAAATCTTCTTTAGAACCAAGCAGAACAGTAATGGGCAATTCCCCTCTCACTGTCCTTGGAGATTTGCTCTGTCTTTAAGTAAAAAGAACAGGAGTACTTGTGGCACCTTAGAGACTAACAAATTTATTTCCGAAAGCTTATGCTCAAATAAATGTGTCAGTCTCTAAGGTGCCACAAGTACTCCTGTTCTTTTTGCGGATACAGACTAACATGGCTGCTACTCTGAAACCTGTCTTTAAGTAGTTAGCCAGCCCTATTGTTTGCTTTATTTAAAGAGAGAGACCAGGTGAACGAGTTATTGTCTTTTATTGGGCCAAATTCTGATGGTGAAAGAGATGCACAGAGCTCTTCTTCCTCTGAAGTGCGCTGTGCAGCTCGAAAGCACGGCTCTTTCACCAAAAGAAGTTGGCCCAATAAAAGACATTACCTCATCCCCCCCCTTGTCAGTCTCATATCCTGGGACCAACACAGCCTCAACACTGCAATCAACTGTACATTTAAAGACATTTTCTGGTGCACTATCCACTTCTGTAAGTCATAAATAACAACCTGCTTTGTACTTTGGCTTGTAACCATCCCTATATAACCTTACTATCTGAAGAGAAAAACAGGAATTTGAAAGAAACTGTATGTATGTGGAAAAGCTAAAACAAGTTTCAAACACAATTACACACACATACAGAATATAGGAAAAACAGGATAAAAATACAGTAAGTCTTACTTTTTCTTCAAAAAAAATTCCCATATATATTATTATTTTTTCAATATTTGTTGTGTACAGTGATAAGTAAACAACTAGATACATTTAAGTATTATAGCCCAGATATTTAAAGGTATTTAGGCATGCTGAGCTCAATGTACAAAGCCTAACTGATTTAGGAGGCTAAATTTCATTTTCAATGGGGATTTAGGAACTTAGGAGCCCAAATTCCAGCAACTGGCAAGGGGATTTTGGCTTCTAAATCAGTTAGGCATTGTACACTGAGCTCAGCAACACCTAAGTACCTTTAAAAATCTAGGCCTATAGCACTAAACTTATATCATTTTAATAACATACCTTATGATACATCATTCACATTTAACAGCTTTCTATCATTTACACATTTTTCTGCATGCTTGTTCAGCCTCTGGAAAATAAAATGCCTTGTTTGAAGTTCTAAACAAGGAAATTGGCATATAATGCTCCTCCTTTACGAACGCACTATGAAAGAACACAATAACACAACACTCACTTGGCACAGCGAACCCAGTGTGTGTGCTGGGATAAGGAAAACAAAAGGCGCTGCCGGTGGACACTCCATACTTTTACTGATTTGTCATTGGACGCTGTAACTAGGAACTGGCCATCATGTGAGAAGTTCACACTACGGACAGGTGCAGTATGGGCTTTCAGGGCTGAAGATTCTCCATGACTGAAAATATATGTTAACATTTTACACAATATTAACCTTGTAGAGGATATAAAACTCAATAATAATCTGACACTGATTAAAAGATCAAAATTAATCTATTTCTCCCTTAATACACCTATACACAAGAACAATCTCTCTTGGTAAAACCTGATTATGGACTTTAGACAAAGCCACACAGACATTTTTGAAAAAACAGGTTTTCTAATCTAGCAGAAGTTTATTTATCTAGACGACTAACTCTAAAACATAAAAGTACTTTGCCTTGCCAGCATTTGCCTTGCTATTTAGTTCAGAATATGTAATTAATGAAATAAAAATATTTTAATATACTGTAATAATCTAACAATCTTAAGAGTGAAGGTAAACACTAGCCTCTATACTGTAAAATGTCTTTAAAATATTTTTTGTTCATAATCACTACCATTTTTCTCTAAAGGAACAGACAAATTTTGATTGAATGAATAAAAGTTGCTGTGTTGTCTTGGCTTCCTTCAACACTTACCCCCAAATTGCAAACGGTTGCACAGAATATTAGCCGTACAACTCCCATTTAAGTAAATGTATCCTTTGAGTTTGAAAGAAACACTGCCACGTGAATTTAGGCCTTCCTCCTCCTGCCACCCACTCATTCTTGCCTGCCTTGAGCTAAGGCCTCCTAATTTCTGTACTCTTATAGAACTGCAGAGGAACCAAGGAGAATGAAGAACCTTGCTTCCAGCTGCCCGCAGACTCCCATTATCCCTCAAGTCCACCTGATGTGGGAAGGGGGCAATAATCTACAGATCTGAAGTTTCTCCTATATTGGTACTGCAGTATCAAAATATATAACCAATACACTTCAGTTATACTCACATACAGGGAATCCATAGTCTAACAGTCCGATCCTGAGAAGCAGATGCCATGAGGTGCCCATCTGGTGAAAACTGTACACTGGTCACAGCTTCCACGTGACCCACAAATCTGAAAGCTCTGGACTGTGGCTTCAAATTCCATATCATAAGAAATCTATCCAAAGAAGATGAGGCTGGCAAGAAATAATTTGAAAGCTATTTTCTGTTAAAAGCAAACAACTACATCACTTGAAATGATAAGAATTCTGATAATTACTCAAATTTAAAATATACATAATAGCTACATACTTAACTGGTGACAGTACCTTAAATTCCACTATCATTAACAATCTGTTAATTTTTAATATGGAAGTCAAATGACACAAAATGCCTACAAAAACAATGACTGCGGATTTTGTCAATGCCACTGAATTTATTATCTATTTAATGTTTCGAGAGAAAGGTTTGGTCTAGTGGCCCTAGTACAAAGTCTGGGAGCCAGCCAGGAACTCCTAAACAGACATTTTGACACTAACATTGGCTCACTGTGACTTCAGACAAGTCACTATAAATTTTCTCATCTGTAAAATAAGGACATTATTTTTGAGGTGTATTGAGCAAATTAGGTTGCAAAGCACTTAGAAGATGAAAATACTGTAAATATTCCAATAATTATAACACAGGTTTGACAATGCTGAACAAAATTTAAAACATCTGGAAACAGGCTAGCGAATACTGCCTTTTCTATCTGCAGCTATTTAAAGTCACAGTGGTCACATGAGCCACATTTTCACAGATGGGTGCCTAAAGTTCCGTCTCTACTGTGGGATTTCAAAAAGCACTAAGTGTTGGCCTAACTCCACAGAGGTAGGCTTGTGCTAAACCTCTACTTGAAAATTCCACTCCTAATATCTTTTCAGTCACCTAAATTGGAACAAACGTGTCCAAAAAAGTAATTAGGTATCTAAGTACTCAAGTTTGAACATTTTGCACATTCTTTGAGTTAGTGTGAATTTAATGGGAAACTGAGGCTGTTGGTTAAATAACAGCAAGCACTGGAACATATTTGTGTGTCTTTGCAGTCAGAACAGCTGTTCATATACTGGACATAATTCAGTATAATGATGTGTTTAACTTTTTAAGCAAAATGTTTTCCAGACTTTACCTGGAAGTTTCTGAGCAGCTGAATGAAAATGACCAGTCTGGTAAAGTTAGGGTTACCAGATAGCAACTGTGAAAAAGCGGGACGGGAGTGGGGGGGCAATAGGCACCTATATAAGAAAGAGTCCCAAAAAACGGGACATCTGGTCACCCTAGGTAAAGTTCTATGTCAGTGCTTGGAAAAGATGAAGGCAGGGAAGGCATGGGAATGACTTGTGTGTAGCGAGTGGGGATGGCGTAATCAGAAAGGAAAAAAAAAGAAGAAAGGAGAGAAGAAACAAATAATTCCTTCCTCGCTGCAAGTGGAAAAGAGGGGATGGGCGAATAGGATCTCCCTTGCAATTGCAGAAGATGTGAAGAAGTTAATACTTCTCTGCCCAACTTGCACCAGTGACGGCAGTAATTTGGGAGGCAAGAGATGGGGAAGAAACCTCTAAATTTAAAGAGACATATACAGCACAAGGCAAGACTAGTACATAAGATGATGAGCCCCCCAGCAGAGTCTACACAGTCCTCTCCATGGATCTAATCCCCGCTTTTCCCAGAAGCCAAGGAGAAGGGTAGTCTCTGAGGCAAGGTGTTATCCCTGGATCCCTACTTTGGAGGGTGTGTGGTTTGTAGCTATGTGATAAGTTTTTCTAAATTTGAGAGTACGTTATTTTATAGTAGGCCCTTTCTGATAATATTTTGTGTCTTTTTTTTTTTTTTTTTGGCTGTAGGAGAGAGAATTTGAGTTCACCTCCTTTGAAATAATGGGACAGATTATTTATTAGGCCAGTACTTCCTAAACTAAATATAATCCACAAACCACCAGCAACCCATGGAGCACAAGCACATAGCACTGGCCCTCTTCCTTACTTTCAGACATTAACATATTTTTAACTTGCATTCTAACTCCTTCCTTTTACTGCTTTACTACCACAAATAAGTATTTGTCTATATTAAGCTGGGGAAAAAAAAAAAAAAAAAAAAGGAGATCGAGAGGTAGACATGAGATGAGCACAATGAAAAGAAAGGAAATTCTGAGCTGAAGCTCTCATTCCATCCTTAACTAGGGCCCCAATTCTGGAAAGAGAACTGAGTCCCATTAATTTCAATGGGATTCTGAGACAGCCTGAATATTTCTGCTTCCAGGAATTGGGACTAACTGTGGTGTACCTTCTACATAAGATTTCACACTATCTTAAACCTCTGGAATACCTTAGCACAATAAGATATTTCAGGATTTCTTTTCTTATTTGTCTTTTGTGAACACAACATGGTGGGAAAGAATTACACCTCTAGCCCGATATAACGCGACCCAATATAACACGAATTCGGATATAATGCGGTAAAGCAGTGCTCCGGGGGAGCAGGGCTGTGCACTCTGGTGGATCAAAGCAAGTTCGATATAACGTGGTTTCACCTATAACGCAGTAAGATTTTTTGGCTCCCGAGGACAGCGTTATATCGAGGTAGAGGTGTATTATAAATACATCTATGGTTAATGTTGCTAACAGCAACAACTTCTCTCTTCAACAGTGGTGTTGAAACCATATTAGCTGCAACTGAATTTAAATTATTCCTTATCTGTAACAAAATGCACTTTATAAGTGATTAATAATTATTACCTTTAAATTAATTCTTCTGTTTCTTTATTCCAGTTTAAGATGGTTCTCTGAGTTATCCAAGCAAAGTATTTCACAGAATTATTTATAAAATTGTTTCCCTTTTTGTACCATGTCCCCCCCCCCAATAAGATATTATAAATGCATTAAGTTCTACAAAATTCAAATAAAATGTTAAAATACCTATTTAAACATGGCTCTTCCCAGGCAGGGGCTAAATATGATGTCCCAAGCCATTGTAGACCAAGCCTAATTGTAACAAAATGTGTTACTGGATGCATCAACACTGGAAAATGTAGTGTGGTATAATGCTGTCTGATCTTTATATAGGTATGAGACATTGCCATGTTACACCCTTTAAACACACTAGGTGAGTCCATAGACTAGTTTTGTAAAACAGTTTATAACATGAGCAGGTCTGGTGTATGTACTGCCCACAGGAGATATGTGAACACCTTTCATGTTTGAACATGGTTCTAGTTAAGTACCCACCTACACTAAAACAATCATGTTTTAACAGGGCAAAAACTTGACTGTGCACAAACCTCATGTCATAACATTGTTGATTCTTGTCTGCATACAAAAAACAACATTACAACCACAGTTTTACTTAAGTATCTAATGATACAGGCAATAGAAATAGAAATTAACAATAGATTTTTCTTTACATATTTTGCTTTTCTTCATATGAATCAAAGACTTGCACATCCAACAATGGAACAATAGTCTATGCAAACACCAGGTTTATACATTTCTGGGCCGCAATTATTAGTAAAAGGGCACTCAATCAAGGATACTTCTTTGGCAGTAAATAAAGACATCTGGACTTACTTCTCTAAGTATATAGGCTTTCCCCCACCCCTCAATACTGCCAAATTCAGAATAAAAATAATTGGCCATATTGATCACGTCTATCAAAGACAGTAAGGTTCCATCTAGAGTGGAACTCCTACTGTACTCACCCCACCCCCCCAAACACCACAGCAGTGCTGATATTGTTAACAAGATTTAGTAGGACTGAACTGTGCTACAGCTTTGACCTTTTGTAGAACTGCTAGACAGTTAAACACATCTACTTAATGCTCAACTATATCAGGAGGCTACCTTGCTGTAACCAGGTCATGCAGTAAAATAGGAATTACAGTGTAGATGTACTTAAATATTCAAATCAAATGGGGACATTAAAACAACTACGTCTCTATCAAATATTCTTTCATCATTAGTTACAGTGGTAAATACATATACAACAGTAATTCTAAGGAGTTTCTATTTGATGATAAATAAATTTCTGCCAAAGGGATGGGGAGGCTGTTTAAATTCAGAATCTTCATTGGGTATTAAGCAGAAGAGGTTTAATATTATTAACCTTTATAAAATGCCAAAATACTGGAGTTCATTCTAAATGTAGTGGGCACTAATATAAGTGGCAAAGATCAAAAACAAAACAAAAGCCAGAAAACTAACCAACATTCAATTATAATTTTTATTACTGTTTAAAAAAAAAATTACATTTAATCAATGTTAAATTTACATAGTTTCTTTTGTCATTTGAAATCAGTAGTTTAAAATCCACATACAGTAATTTTATTTCCCCCAAAATTCTCATAAAACTATGATAGAATTAAAAATAGATATATTTATACCTTTGTTTCTCAGAGTATCAGATTTTCCAGAAATCTGTACACAGAATTAAAAGATTACAGTAGCAATGTTTCAGTTATGGTTGAGATTGCCATTTCCAAGTTCCTATTAGATATTTATAATATTATAAAAATTGCTCCGATTGGGCAGAAGTGTTGCATTCTTAGTCTTATTTTTCTGTTTAAAAAACCTGAAATATGGGATAAGAAAATTCTCTTGAATTGTTTGTCAGTTATAAGTGCATTGAAAAAAGTGTAATATTTAATAAACTTGTTCATTCTTATTTTCTGCTCAGATAGCTCAACAACTTATTTTTAAACTTCTAATTCATAAAATAGTCCTCCAAGAGGAGCACAATATTTGCTAGGTTTTAAAAAAATAATAAATGTTAGAATTGAATAAAAATTGCATAGTCTGCATGCACAGTACTTCATTTCCCTCACTAAATAGGTATGCCTGGCATACAAGGTAGATGTGTATGCAAGCATGAATCCATTTGGAAGTGTGCATGCTGAAACAAATTTATTTATGGTAAGGCTTTCACAAATACATGTGACCATATAAAGCTTGCTCTTTCAGAATGTCATGGGCTGTAGTCTCTCAAAGGAGTAGGTCTACAAAGGAATGCAGAGGTATTCCTTGGTACATCAGGTTTGGTGAATGTGCCAAGGAGTGCCTTGCTGATCAATATAATGTTACAATTCCCTTATTCTGTACCAATTTATACAAATCAGATTTCAAATTTGTCATTTTAAAATAAATTACAGAGACTTAGAATTCCCAGTGCCACATAGTGGCAATCATTTTTAGTATGGCCCTGCACTACACTACTAATCCAGAATCTTCCTCATCTAGTCCCTCTTTCAGCCCAGCCCCAGAGACTCTTGCCTCAACTTGCTGGCCACTTCTTTCCCTTCCTCCCTCCAATCCTTCAAAAGTCCTTAGAAATACCCCTGAACACACACCCTTTTCCCTCTTGCCTCACTATTTCTAGAAAGTCCCTAGCCCTTTTACGACCCCACTTTCTCCCTCCAAATAGCCATCTCCTTTCCCTTCTGCCTAGCCCTGGCTGTAATGAACCAACACCACCTACTATATCCCACTAGACCTTCCCCAGATTTTTATTGCTCACTTCCTGTCATTAATTTGTGACTATCTGAAGGTAAGAGCTGTCAGTCTAAGATCAAGTTTTGGTATCTGGTGGCTACTGATAGACAGCACAAGAAGAAAAAAAAAAAAAAAAAAAAAAAAAAAAAAAAAAAACCATCCTGGATTTGCCAAAGCTTAAGCCAATGCCTCAAAGAATCATGTAGAGGCCCCAACATGCTTGGTACTGGCATTGTACTTTTTCTAGAATATGCAATCCAATGATCACACACCTAAGAAACTTTATTTGAACATCCTATCTATGATCACATATTTAAAGAAACACCTTAATGCAATGGTTCTCAAACCGCAGGTCGCTTGCGGACCAATCAGCACACAGCTGCAGCCCATGTGACATCCTCAGGGCCACACAGGCCGTATACATATTGAGTGAATGTGGCCTACATAACACATAGAGAGCTGCATATGCAGCCCGCAACAGTAAATAGGTGGAGAACCACTGCCTTAATATCATTATGAAAAGACCTACACAAGCACCTCTTTCCTTAACCTCCTAACATACTGGTATATAAAATATTACATATATTTAAAAAACAACAAACAAACAAACAAAAAAGACAAGAAAGAATGCAAAAGATTATGTAAACATAATGGTAGTGTTGAGAATATAAACAAGTGTCCAGAAATTGAGTACTAGCTAATGCTTACAGCACTCAGGATGTGCATACTAGTTCTGAGAATTCAAAGATAAGAAACAGATGTCAACATGACACCCATCCTTTTCTCTCTCACACTCAAGATAAATGCACCACACACACTCTATAGTCTCCCACCCCTAACCATCTCCTTCCCACCCCCAACCTCCACCTGGCCAACATTCTCATACTACTAGCCCATCTTCCTAGTTCCACTACCTCACTACCTCTAGCATTAGGGCGAGGGGAGAAGGGGGGAAGGAGGTGTTGAAGAACCAAGTTGCTTTCAGGAACTAGGGCAAGACTGAAGAGGTGTTCACGTGTGGAGGGGGATATGAATTAGGGAATGAAGCACGGCCAGTCCTAATGTTTCCCGTCTTCCAAGTAGTTAGAAAATAGAAACTTTCATTCCTTACAAAATATGACGACCTCTTCAACACCCTTAGGAGTTGGCAGATCTCCAATAAAGTAAACACCTGGATGATTATACAACGTACTAAGGATTAAGGTTCGACTTCCCACACCAATGTTAACTCAGCCATGTACTACTGTATTATTTATTCTGTGAATTTAATGAATCAAAACTCTACAAAAATAAAAACCTTAAGTCAGTACAAAAAGGCACTTTTAAATATTAATTCCCAGTATTTGCCAACCCACTTCTGTAAATTTCAGCATAAGAGATTCAGTTCCTAAACTACTATAGAGAAGGCTCTCAGAGGACATCCACGTATCAAAGCATAGCCAGCCACTAATTTACTCTGAAGTTCTTCAGATAATAACTATCATCAGTGGCTATTTTATTTCTCAAACTTCCAAATTTGATTTTTATCTGCAGCATTACAAGTCCTCATTTGCACATCAGGCCGACCCTCAGAAGTACGATAAGCACTAAGGCACTTTCCTGAATGAGGATGATAAATGGTCCCATCCTCTTTAAAATGCCATATGATATTTTCTGGGATAGGGGATCTATCTTTTGGGCAGTTCCTCATGCCAATTAAATCCTTTTGTTCAGGGACTTCAGCACATAGTTCAGTCACAGAGTTAAACCTAATTTCTTTACTCGATGTATATTCAAAGAACTGATTGCCTCCTTGACCATGACATCCAAAGAGAGACACGTAAGTCCCAGTAGGATTATGTTCAGGTGAATTGTAATCTAGACATTCTGATGATATTCCCATACTGTGGATAGCTCCATGCCAGCCCGGACGATCCTCTGGTACATGTAAGTTGGAAAAAATATTTTTCAAATACCAGTCAAAACTCTTACATTTCAAACGCTCTCTTACTAGTTTTCTTTCAGAAATATCACCATAATTTTCTTTTCTTGCTGGAGGATTTCTATTGTAAAAATGTTCTTTATATTCATCCATCCACACTTCGGCAGCACGTGCAGTGTTCTGAAGGAAATTTGGCCTCGCATATGGAGCCCGCTTTGGAAACACATGGCCTACATGGGAACAAGGATGGATCTCCAACGTGCCGCCACATTGCCACACCCTGAATGATAGTTCTAAATTCTCCCCACCCCAGACATCCATCCCTGTGTCATATGTACCAAGATACTCAAAATACTTCTTACTAACTGCAAATAGCCCACCAGCCATAGTTGGGGATCTAATTGGGTCAGTTTTAGATTTCCATCTTTGACGTTCATGTTCAGGCACGGAATGCCACTGAAATGTCAATCGCCAGTCAAATCCCCCAATCATGGGCTCACCCGTCTGCATGTAGAATTCAAATGTATTCCAATCAATGGTATCTATAACAGGACAAATGATCACAGTCTCGTTCTCAGCAATCCTCTCTAAAAGTGGTTCCAGCCAACCAGAGTTACACTCACAATGACAGTCTAGAAATGTGAGGACATCACCAGTAGCAAAGGTAGCTCCAATTAAGCGTGCACGAACCAGTCCTTCTCGTTTGCTGGTTCTTATCAAACGAACTCTTTTCAGGTTACTAATGTACTTTTCAAGTTCAGCCTTCAGATATATTTTATCGCTCAAGTCATCCACTAGTATAATTTCTTTTAGAAGTACTGCAGGAGATGTTTCAAGAACGCTGTGAATTGTCCGCAGTAAGGTTGACCAAGCTTCATTATAGAAAGCAATTATAACGGATGTAGTTGGAAGTTTTCTATAGTTGTAAGATTTGGCTTTACATTCATACATTCGATTGTCCTGTATGTGACGATGTAGAGATATTCTGTCACTCAAATAAATATTAATTGCATATTTTTCAATCAGCTCTTCTTCAAGTTTCTTTTCCTCAGGAGTCAATTGTGGACGAGCGGCCTTACCCCATTCTCCTGGCGCAGAAGAATCAGGAGGGGATTTTTCATAAACTGGACGAGCCAAATCCTCTGCTTTTTCTGCTCTATTAGAAAAGTGCCTCTCCCATCTCCCATTGGTGACGCTGTCTCCGGTGGAGGAGGCATGGAAGGTAGAAACAGACAGTTCCACTACGAAGTAGGCAACCATCAAGAGGCCAAGCAACAGGCAGCTTCTGCCAAGCCAAGTCCATCTTCTGGCCAGACGGATCCTCATTGCAAGCGATTAAACCAGCCGCGGGCAGACGAGAGAACTGTAAGTTCTTGCAACGCTCTGCCCTTTCCTGGCACTGCCGGGAGCCGCGGACGGGCAGCAGTTCCGGGCTCAGGCTGCTGGGGAGGGGGGCGGGAGGGTTGCAGCAGGTCCTCTTCTTCCCGGATATAGAGTCCAGAGCGGGGATGCGGAGGAGCAAAAAAACAACGAAGCAGCGTCCCTCCCCCGGCCCCTCCCCGCCTCCTGTGCAGAACGCCCCCGCCACAGCTCTCTCGTGCCTTACTTCCTCCTCTCTGTCCCCAGGACAAACCCCTCCCTCGGGCACTCTCCCTCCGCCTTGTGGTTTGCTCAAAAAGTTGTCGCTTAAGAAAGGGGCAGGGAGCCCTTGGCCCGTCCGACCCAGAGAAACGCCTCTCCCCTCCCACCCTGTGCGCCAGCCCCACCCCCGTCAGCCCCATCCGACGGGGGCCGGAGCTAGACCCGCAGCCACACAAGCACGCTTCTCCGGAAGCCGCTGAGAAACTTTCCTCAGTCATTCCGGAGAGCAAACACCGCCTCCTGCCCAAGCGACAACCTGTAGGGGCCACCCCCCTGTAGCCATCCTCTCGCTCTTCCTCCTCCGTGCGCTCCAGCGGCACTGTACCCTCCTCCCCATTGAGTACAGTCCCGTAGCAGGAGCTGGGCGTCTGGATCCTACGCAAAGCGTTCAGCACAAGCTGGCACTCTAACGCGCAACCAAAGGTAACAAACTCACCAAGTGCCGTGGTGGTCGGGCTGAAGTCAACGCCGGTGACTGCAGCTTTATGGCCTTTAAAGGGACGAATTAAGATAGGATCCTCCTGGAGAAGAAGTTGTAATATCTGAGAACTCAGTTTTGAGTCACCACCTGATTTTTGCTCTCTATGTCAACCCGGAACTCGCCATGTTAAGATCACACCAAGATCAATACTGAAAGGAGGTAGCTTCTCTCAGATACAATTTATAGATTCTGGGAAAGCAGCAGCGCCTTAGCCCAGAATAAAACTTCCTTCCATTATAATAATAGTGGGGAAGGAGAGTACTGCAAAGCATCCTAAAAGCTAGAACGCTGCTCAAGTTTGCATTACTCTGAGAAGTGCGGTGACAGCCAAGAGGATCAGGCATAAGTGCTGGTCTCTAGATGTTGACATGGAGAAAAATCCCGAGAAGACAGGCCCTACAGAATGTCCCTATAGCACAGATGTTCCCGAGCAACAACCCGCCGCCCGTGTGGAATCCGGCCCTGGATGGCAGTAAAACGCCCTGCAACAAACAGGACTGATATCGCAAATCATATGCAAGGCCACCCTCCTGCTCCCCTTTAAGGGAGTGTAACTCTCCTCTGACAAATCAGAGTGAGAGGGCGTTTTGAATGTGTTTTGATTTGGTTACCGCAAACGAAAACCCTGGAACAGCTGTTGGACGCCCCCCGCTCTCCCTGTTTCAAGGGCAGGGGTTTTCCATTGGCAGAGCGAGCTGTGACAAACTTTTCCCCTTTCTCTTTGGGCTCCAGGCCCCTTTCCAGTTGGCCAGTTCGCTCACTGAGGAGCGTCCATCACCGATCTGCCCAGCTCCCCAGACGCCCATCACCGTGACAGCTGAGCGCTGCCCTTAGCGGTAACAGCAGGAGTAGAGGAAAAGAAGGGGCACTAGAGGGGCTTGTCGCCTCCCCTGGGAGCGGCGGGTGGCCGGGTTACGTGCTCCAATGCCGCGGCGCTGCCCCGCACGCCCCGGGGGGAAGCTTGAACCCAGAGCTCGGCCCGAGACAAGCGGGTCCCGGTGGAGAAGGGGCAGCGCCTGGGGCGGGGCCAGAAGGCGCGGACCCCAGCCTACTCCGCCGCTTGCCCAGCTGGAGACACGCTCATCAGTTCGGGGCCTGGCGGGCGGCTGCCCGGGGCTCCCCCAGCGCGCACAGCAGAGCTACCGGGTCCCTCTGGCCCAGGAGCGGGGCTCGGCGGGCAGCGTCTCCCCAGGCCCGCCCGCTCCCTTACCAGCACAGACGCCATGGGACAGGGACCCGGCGCGCCCGCTCCAGGCGCTGCGATCCCCTGCCCTGAAACACCAGCAGCCGCGCCGCGGCCCAGTCAAACCCCCCGCGCTCCAGACCCGACTAGCCGAGTCCCGAATTCGACCCCAGCGGCAGCCCCTGCCTGGCTGCGGGCCCCATCCAACCCTGTGAGCGCGGCGCCGAGCTTAGAGCCGCATCCATGTGATAGGCACTCGACTCGCCCTTAAAGAGACAGTGAGCCCCCCCTCCCAGTTGCTTGGTTACCATGAGCGTCCATGCGCAGTCCTCTCCCCCCCAGGACCACGCCCCCAGAGAGGCACGCGCGCTACGGCTCTAGTCCCTGGCCTGCCCCCGCCCTCGCTGCAGCGCGGGCTCCTCTGCCTCAGCAGCACGAGCCCAGCGGGCCTGAACGCCCAACGGTGCGTGCGCTGCTGAGCCGCCGCCCGGGGGCGGAGCGGGCCGAGCAAGTAGGCCGGGAATCACCCCGCCGAGCCAGCTTTGGGGAGCTGCACTCAGGGGGGAACCACCTTCCTTCCTCGCGCCTTAAGATTCAGGGAGCGTTAGAGTCAAATCCCCTCGGATCAGCCGTGCTCCATCCGTGTTGTGGAGAGGGAGCTGTTGGGCGGGGAAAGGCCCTTCCCTGGGGGCTGGGCCGTGGCTTCCTCGCCAGGCTTGGAAGGATGAGATTTGTACGGTAAATGTGGGCAAATGTCAGTGAATTTAAATTTCACGCGCAGGATTGAAAAAAGACATTCATCTGCACCAATCAAAGCGTAGTACAGGCAAAGTAAGCAAAATGCTGCTTGAGGACAAGAGCTGAATTGAAGGCTATTCACTTTGTATATTTTAACAGGTGGTATTGACAGTTTGTGTTTTAACAGTTATAAAGCTTTAACTTTTAAAATCTCACTGTTCATTGTCATTAAATAACTGTCTTCCCCATAATTTCCCACAACTGTGAAAATTGTATTCAATTTTTAAAAAATGCTTAAAATTTAAAAAAAATGAATTCTGCCAAAACTACTTCTACCTGAAGAAGTATGATGCTGAATGAACTCCACATAGTTAGGGAATCTGCTTTGCAGTAGCCGATTTCAGGGGCTTGCAGGTTGGTTTCCCCTTATAGAAGAAATCAGTGATACAGAATCTAAGTATTTTAAATAGGGTTACTTATTTTAATTTACACTGTATAAAATCAATATCTCAAAGATTGAGGTGATCAGAAATTACAGTAATAGAGGAGGGCATATAAATCCTCAAAGACAGATTTACACCACTCCTTGAACAAAGGCAGTCAAGCAGCACACAAGCAACCCCTTCTTTCACCAATACCCAGGGAGAAACTCTAACCCAAAAACTGACTAGTTAGAGACAGGAAGATAGATCAACCTTTCCTGCTGCTTGCTTTACTGCAGCTCCTCCCCAAAAGAAACATTGCAAAACTAACAGCAGCAGCATTTCTTCAAGACTGAACAGTACTTGTCCAATAAAAAAAAAACATTAAACCTACAGGTAGTAGTCCTAGCTACTGACTCTTGCCATAAAAATATGTATAGAAATGGCTGAAAATGGGCAGAATCCAAAATTTGTTTACCCATCATTTAATGGGCTATGGACTGAATCAGATCACAAAAACTCCTTCTCCCAGATGTTGCATTCCTTAAAGCCAGACAGGAAGAAATGGATAAACCCCGAATAGAGCAATCACGAAGGAGACTGCTTACTGATCTCAAGGAAAGGAGAAAACACTTACAGAAAAGGTAATGTAATATAGGCTAGCTTAGTACGCTTTTATTCTATACGATTTACTTTTCTGTATTTTCTATGACAAATATTATTGCTCTGTTTAAATAATTGGAACTGGTGGCTGTTACTGAGGAGATTCCCCAACAGAAGAAAGGAATCAATGCTAAAAGGAGGAGGGGTTGCACCTTGAGCATTTGATAAAGCATAGACAAAGGGTGAGATGGGGCTTAAAATTGTGCTGCCAGGATATGGGAAGGCTAGGGACCAGGAAAAGGGCAAGATTTGGGAAGACCTTGGGTTGCATCGTAGTTTCCTATTGGTCATTTTATGAATCTCATTTTCATGGTAAACATTTATGAAATCTTTGGGGCTTCTGTAAACAGATTTGGCAAACTTTCATATTTGCACTGAGAATTTTAGTTAGAAGCTTTTTCTAAAATAACACATTATTTGATATTTTGGTAGAGACAAATAAGGTCAGCTTATTATGGAGTGGCAGTAACCACTTCATAGTTTGGGCTAGTTTCCAATTACAAGCCTGATTTTCAACCCCTTCTCTCTCCCCACACACAGCTACCCCAAAAAAAGTTAATCCTCCTAAAATTTCACATACTACATCTCATCCTAGTCAGGAAATTTAAATTTTGGCTCATATCACTACAATGGTTTGGTCTATAAACTTTATGTTTCTTTCAATTTGTTGACCTTGGTGGGCTTTGGGAGTGGGTGGTTGTGGGGGAGAGCAGAAGATACCAAATGTCAAGTTTTTCAGAAACTTTTGATTTTCCTAGTGATTCTGGGTATCCAACTTGAGACCTTAAGGGATCCAATTTGTAAGAAAGGGCTGATCACCTCTCCTCTGAAAATCTGGCTCCTTTAAAAGGTGTCCCAAGTTGGATACTAAAGCTCATTGGTCACTTTTGAAAATCTTGCTGTCATAGTTATGGGACTAGCTGCACTTCAGGCCTCTGAGTGCAGCCCCACAGTGTACTGTAGCTCAAAACCTGGTCTATAAACCAGGCTTGCCCTGCAGGGCTGACAGTGTTTGGGTACCTGCACAGTTCTTCCCTTAGGGAGGCTGTAGTTGGTTGTATACAATGAGACAACCTTCTTAAAACCAGAATATTATTTATTTTAATAGTAGGAACAAAGCAGTTAAAATTTAAAAAAAGATTTTAAGAAGGCGTGTAGACTATTGATCTTACCTAAAGGCTTCCGTTCCCATCCCGATTGTATCCTAGGCAGGACTAACTTCTTCAGGCACCCTTAGTGGAGTGTCACGTGTGTCAGTCTGTTTCCCCTAAACAGCTACCCTTGGTCGAATGTTCCCTTTTAAATCCACCAGAGTTCTTTTGATTGCCTGGGATCACAGGCCTTTTCCTGTCCTCGTCCAAAGCACTTTTGTAAGGTAGCTAAAGGGGAGGCAAAAATTAAAGCTAGTAGTCTAGGCATTGTCCCTTAACAATTCTCCCTTCACCTTCTCCCCCTACACCCCCTGACACACTTTAGCGTCCAGCCCTCCACCCACCTGCCAAGTTTTGTGCAACTCCATGTCTTATCCCAGTTTCTGCTCGCTGCAAGGTTTATTGGCCTTAAGCTGAAGTTTACAGTCATGTGCAAATTATTTCATGAGCTAATTTACATAAAATGTTACATGGATCTGCATAAAACTTGGAAGCTATGAATATGACTAGGAAGCAGAGGTAGGGGTCTTAAGGAGTAGAGGGAAGAGTGTTCCTTCTCGAGAACTGGGAAATTGTATTCCACTGCTCAGCAACGGGGATCTGTCCTCTCACCTCCTAAATTTCAGCTGACTACAGAGAAAAGGAGAAGTAGCAGATGAGAGTGGCTGTCGCAGGCCTCACCAGTGGTGTAGTGGTAAAAAAAATAAGTGGGTAGACTAACAAACTCTGTTTACCTGCGTTTACCCATAACTACAATACTGTGCCTCTTAGAACTTCACCACCACCCTGCTTGCAGGCTATTGATTAGCGAAGCATCTCAATAGGCTTGAGGCAGCAGCAATGTCTCTTGGCTTGCCTCTGTCTGCCCTCTCCCGCCCCCGGTAGGCAGGCAGGGGGTTGAAGAAGCGGACACTTGTTCACAGCCAGCTCAACTCTTACCCTGCCTGAGCTCCTCTTCCCTTCCCAACTAGCTCTGTGTCACAATAGGGCAAAGTTAGGAACCTGCTGGCTGCCTGAGTAGACAATGAGCTGTGCAGATTGGAGAATGGAGTCCCAGCTGCTGGCCTGCCAGCAGGCCGCAACTTCTTCTCCTTCCCCCTTGGGGGACAGATACAGTGAGTAAGTTGGAGAGGAGGAAGCCTTAGGGATGGGCAAAGCATGGATGAACAGGGGCACTTGGGAGACAAAGCCTTTGGGATGGAGGTGCTCATTTGTGTGAATAGATGGGGAACAGAAGGTGTAGGCGAGGGAGATTGGGCAGGGTGGGGGAGATCTGGAAGAGGTGTGAAGATGGGTGTCTGGATTGACCCCGGAGCCCTGGGAGAAGCAGAGCAAAAGAAAATAGGGAAAACATGAGGGACGGGGTAGGGGTCATAAAGCAAAGTGAGATCATGGGAGGCAGAGTGGTGGACCATCATAGGTGTAAATTTGAAACCTTTGGGGTAGAAGAATATTAGGTGTTGGGTAGAGGGACTGGAGGATTTTGGAAGAGGAAATAGAAGGATAGCTGAAAAGAAAGACTGACGATGAAAAAGAGCTGCCCCTCCCTTTCCCCTGCATGGATGGCACAGATAGTTTCCCAGTCCACGAAGGAGCAAGGAGAAGTATGTCCTGAACAGTGAAGAAATGGGTTCCCTCAGCCTCCCAGTGCAAATGTCTGTAGAATGAAAAAGGCAGTCCTTAGCTTTCTGCACAAGGTCAGAGGAAGGAGGAAAGGGACAGATTCCTAAAGTCCCTGTGAGACTGACTGTAGTCCTATCAGAGTTGAGGTGTTTGGGCAGATAGGGGCCTCCACAGTCAGTTCTTATTGCTTTCAGAAAGAGACACTTGGTCCAAAATTCAGAAACAGCAGGAACTCTGCCTCTTTTACTGATAAAAACTCTCTTTCAAGGCCAATGGGGGCGGCGGGAAGCCGTGGCCAGCACATCCCTCGGCCCACGCTGCTTCCCGCAGCCCCCATTGGCCTGGAGCGGCGAACCACGGCCAGTGGGAGCCGTGATCGGCCGAACCTGCGGACGCGGCAGGTAAACAAACTGGCCCAGCCCGTCAGGGTGCTTACCCTGGCGAGCCGCGTGCCATAGGTTGCCGACCCCTGGTCAAGGGCCTTGAATGTGCATGTGAGCTCCCCCAAAGCAGTGCATGATAGTAAGGTAAACTAAAGTTATACACAAAGAGCTGGCAAATATACATAATAAACAAATGAAAGTATTTGTTCCCCTCTCATTTAAAAAAAAAAATAATATAAAAA